GAGCTCGACAACCAAGGATGGATGTGGAGATCCGCTGATGCCGCGAATATTAGCTGATATTAACTGCATAGATGCTTCAATGACTGTTTCTTTGAATACCATGAGGAGACAAACATCTATTATTAGAACGTTTTTCAACATGAAAATAATGGGTAGAAATTGGCAATCATTTGGATGAAGCTGTGACCGAAAATTTGGATATATAATGATATATACGTAGAGTCATTAGCTCGTCAAATTCTTGCGGAGGTGTTTCAGTATGCGTTTCACTTCACAAGAGGAATCTGAACAGTCTGAACAATCTCAGTGGGTTGCTCCAATGGCCAAATTGCACAGTTTTGAGCCGATCTGGCAATGAGGAGCAATGAGGACCGTGCGCAACCAAGCAGTCCTGGATAAGCAACCTCCTTCTGTGCTTCCCCAAGCAGAATTGATCTATGCAGCCACACCCATCTCTGTATCATTCTGTATCTACATCTCTCAAGCATTCAAAAATCCAAAGCTATCTCTCTGCGTTCAAAATGAAGCAAATTGAGCATAGATTCAGGGCTTTTTCCCAGTGTCATGACCGCATCATAATTTCATGTTGCTCAAACACGGCCCGGGCACCAAATGTTTCCAGTGGTTTCCCCAGTGATGGATTAATCAAGGTGAAAATTCACCCAAAATCAGGCTGCCACTTCTGCTCAAGAGCTTGGAGCAGTGGAGTTAAACACCTGGCAGATGTTTGACTAGCTTGCAGCACTTCGCCGGCAATCCAATCGGGCAGTGGACAATTGCCACCTTGGAATATGTAATCACTATATATTATTTATATATTCATGGATATTCATGGCCATGTTTGGTACCATACGGTACCATATATGATTCAGCTCTGATGGGTGAGCCACCCGAGAACCCTGGAGGATGGTTGGTTGCATCATCTGTGCTGGAAGATCATCGAACTTCAAAGGTCACCTTCACCCATCTATTAGTGCGGACACCCATGATAACCATGCAGTATATAATCCCAGAAAACATTAAATGCATCGTCATTCATCGTTGAATCCAACATATTCCAACATTCCAACGTATTCCAAACAAGGCCTTCACATCGTGTCTCCCATGTTTTTTTTTGATTTGGGCACTTTTCCCGTGAAGAAACATCCCTGCTATGTGCATCTCAGTTCTTGAGGAAACACCTAAGTTAGCAAACATTGGCAAACACCCAAATGTGATCATTTCATCATTGTCCATCTATGCCGTTGGGTCGCAAGGTCATCAGCATGGCAGCATGACTGTTTCTCTAAACGATAAACTCAAACGCAACCATCTCCAAACACCTCCAAATCAATTAACATAAAATATGTAGCACTTAGAGGTTTTGAATCTACCAGTACCACCCCCATCCACCCCCCACTGCTGCCACATCCGACCCAGTGCAGCTGACCTGTCGATCAAGGAGCGGCTGCTGGGCCGAAGTGTCACACCCAAAGTGCCCAAGAAGTCACACCTGCAGTCTTCACGCGACCGGAGAGGGACCCCCTGTTGCACTGTTGCAAATAGCTTCAGAAACCGTAGAAAATGATTTCAAAAGACTTACATGTATCAGATTCTTGTTGATGTTCTTTGGATGTTTCTCTATTCTACAGCCGAGGCAGATTCGTTGTGGCGCTGGATTTTTGTCGACCCTGAGCCCCCAAACGCCACAGCGGTGAATTGCGATGAACGCGCAGCAAAGAGTGGCGCTTCTGCAGATCTGGCGATTCCGCTGGCAGCTGAATCGCGAGTCAAAAGGCTTGTGCCAGCTTTGATGCATCAAAATGACGGAGCAAAAAACATTGCCATTGCCAATCTTAGATAACCGTGCAAAAAAAAATATATATAGCTGGTTAGTATAGATTCATATATCATATAACCATGAAAGGATTCAACTCCCCATGCCCAGCACCAAGGCTCAGGCCCTGCGCCCTTGGGAAGCTGCACCTGGGGTTCACATGGTCCAAATAGCTGAATGGTTTATTTCATGGACAACTCCGAAAATAACATCGATAACTGGGGGGAGCACCATGACTTGGGAAATCTCCACGTTCTGAAAATTTGATGTTATCCACCCCGTGACGTCTCCTTTCCAACTTCAGGGTTCGTCTCGACACCGAATGTTAGAGCAAGGCTTATTTTCCTCTCGGAAATTGTTACAGGGATTACCGTGTCATAGTTCCCCTTACTTCGCTGATTTTGAACATATGGTTGCTGCAACATAAAAGTCAATGCAGCGCTCATTATTTTCAAAAAATGCGGAAAGGTATCTGAAGCCACCAAGCAGTTAAACAACTCCCATTAGAAACGTTGTTGACTGATATGGATTCCAACAATGAATGCATGGCATAAGCATCAGTCTGAGCTAAGATCAGAAATTCCATAGATATACAAACATGTACATATAATATAAACTGTACATATAATATATACTGTATACATTTATATGTCTATATATATATATGAGTATATATATATATGAGTATATATATCTATGAGTATATATGTGTATGTGTGCATACATTTATACATATACATATATATTAATATATAGTTATATAATTGGATCATATTAAATCACACGCCTTGCAATCAATTTGCACATCATTGCTGAAACAGAGATTTGCCATTGCCATGTAGCAGCCTGGGCCACCCTGCCCCCTGAAGGAAGGGTGCAAAATCCCCAGAGAGGCAGTCGCGCAGCTGCCAAGTTCCAGCCTCACCAGGGGCTAGGGGAAGCCATACATAGAACTTGGATTTCGCCCACCAAAAAATGGGATATGGCCGCAAACGTGCGGATTTACTGTGATCTATTTTTGGGATTTTCTTTGGGGTTCCGAAAACAAAGTTGTTTGGTTACCCTACTCTGATATGTATCAACAATGTCCAAAGACCACTTTTTGGGCGATCTTGGTGCATAGCCAAGTCAGACATATCGGTGTGACTACTGTACCTTGGAGAAACACGGTGTATCACGGTGTTGAATGTACCCTCTGAACGAACACGGCAATGGAAAATCATACTTATGGATGATTTTCCCATTAGACAAAACACATGTATAGAGGATTTCCCAGCCAGCCGTGTTTGATGACACTGGAAGGCACCCTTCCGTGCTCATGAATCAGTGAAGGTAGCGTTTCAAAATGGACCGGATTCTCCATCATAAACCACCATTCAACAGTCCCATGATGTTCATCGTTTTCATCGTCTCACACTGCTACATCACACCTAGCTGCCCAAGACCGCACCAGCCAGCGCCTCATCATATGGCAGGGCTGACAGTGATGGACCATGATGGTATAAGAGCTCCATCATGTGAGGTGCAGCGACCTGGCTGGCACCATTTTTACCACATATTTTTTTTAAAGAACCGAATGCTCCCTTCGTCCCTTCGCCCCAATTTTTAATATTTAAACATCCCCAAGGAATCACGTTTTTAGTAAGGAATTACACAGACTTGGGACCATTCATGGGGTGTTTGATGCTAGGTGGGATTGTTCCAAATTATTCCAGTCAAATGGCCACAACTTGGATTTCTACCAAGCATTTCTGGACAAAGCCACATTGGCAGGGGGCACAACTACCCTTTGCTCGGCCTGCAGCGATAGCCACCACTCCTGAGTTCAGCATCGGTGAAATCATATCACCCTAGACCCTCTAAGTACTTGGAAAAGTGTACTAATACAATCATGATTTTAAGCGACGTTTAGCCATTTTCATGCGCACTTAAGGAGGATCTATATGTAGGCACATTGCCCTACTTCAAAAAACCTTGGCGAAAGAAAAAAACATGTTTGGGATGATTTTCCAGTATCCCTATAACATTCTCGAGAATATCATAACGAACTCCGGCCGCGGCCTTTCAAATCCTCAGCTCTACACCGGGTCCAGCAATCTGGCTCCAATCTTTCTGGCCTCCAGAGTTCACCCACAGAGGTTTCAAGCTGGGAAAATCATCGAACTAGATGGAGGATTTTCCAGCCATGTTTTATTACCAAAGGCTATTCTCAAAAACCATAGGGATACATAATCTGCTTCGTGGTTGGGCCACCTGCCTGAATATATTTATGTATTTATTTATCTATCTATTTATTTATTCGGCCGTTGGGATTATCATCCCAAATAGGACGGAAAATGACATATTCTTCAAACCGGTAGCCTGTTCAGGCATCATGGAGCCGTCCATGATATCTCATGATATCTCCAACTATATAAGGAATTTTAGGGCTACCTACTTTCCTATGAGCAATCCTATCGATGGCGTTAGAACCTGAAACCCTGCTTGATCTGATGGTTCTATAAAGTTCTATATGAGTCTATATGTAATTGATGCAACTGTTGGCCTGATAAACTCCCACAAGTCTGGTGGTGTTTACTACAAACGTGTTTACTTGGATGTGCATCCCACTTAGCATGTGGTGTAATCCCTTCCTCCTAATACTAAACGTCCCCCTAATACTAAAAACAGGCATCCATCTCCAATTTCCGAAAATTTCAGTTTGGCCAATTTGACTTTTAATTGATCCCCTTTAAAAAACAATTCAAAAATCAACCTACCATTTGTGGGTTCTCCCCCCTAATACTAAAAACTAATTCATCCCGGGGTGTTTAGTATTAGGGGGGCTAGTCCTACTCCCCAAATCCAAGCTGCCTGGCTGGTCTAGCTGCCTGCATGTTTTGCTGACACCACGCTGTCTGGCTGCCTGAAAGCCACCCCTCATGCCTTGCTGCCTGCAAGGTCTTTCTGAGCTGGCTGGAGTCTTGAATTTTGAAGATCCCATAAACACCTATGTTAAGGGTTTCCCTTAATTTTAGGGGGTTAAAAAAAAAATCAAGACTCCAGCCACTGTACTTCCTGGCTGTACTTCCTGGCTGTACTTCCTGGCTGTACTTCTTGGCTGTCTAGCTGCCTACGCATCCTTAGCTGGCTGCCTTTCTGTCTGAGCTGGCTAGAATCTTTAATTTATAATTGAATCCCAGAA